TGAGGAGATCCTTCAGAAATTTTGCGTACCTCGGCATCTCCGTCAAAGTTTCTATGAATGGGACATTAATATGAAGCTGCTTCAGATGCTCCATAAATCTAATCAGGTTCGTGTTATCATTGCTTCTCTTCACCCGTGTAGGGAACGGGAGAGGTGGAGTCGTCTTACTCTTCTCTTTCTTTAGAGAATCTTCTTTCTGAGCTTCATTACTCTTGGAAGGAATAGGGACAGCCACTGGTTCTTCTTCAACCTCCCGGGATTTCGGGTCTTGATGTCGCTGGTCATCATTTTGTTGAGCCAATGGTGGAGTATTAACTTTTGTAAGGGTCTTCCCGCTGCGTAGTGTAACGGCCTGCACTTGCTCCCTTGGATTGGGTTCTGTTGAACTCGGAAGGCTGCCTGGTTCTCTAGGAGCAACTGAACCAAGCTGGCGGATAAGAGCTTCTAGGTTGCTGAAACGCCGGTGCATCTCCGCTTGATTTTTGGCTAATTCAGCCACTGTTTTCTCTAGCGCTGCATTTATCGGAGGTGGTTCAAGCTGTCTTTGGTGAGGCGGGACATAAGCGGGCTGATTCGGATTGCCTCTATTCTGAAAATTTGCTTGGTAATTGGGAGCATTCCGCTGCCCCTGATTCTGATTTTCAGGTCTCCACGAGCCTCCTCCTTGCTGAAAGTTTCCTCTCTGAACTTGATTGTTGAAAAAATGCCCACCAGCTCTCTGGCCTTGACCGTATTCCATGAAATTCACATCACGGACCACTGGAGCTGCCTGATTCTGAACATAAAGAGGGCAGGTGTGAGTGAGGTGAGCTCCCATGCACATTTCGCAAGATAAAGCTAGTTCTTGGCCAATTGGACTTGGATAACTTGCTCGAACGGGAAGTGGGGCAGAATACATAGGATAAGAGGGCTGATATGCCCCAATATTATGAACATGTTGTTGCTGAGAAGTCCGTGCCTTCAAGTCTTTGACATCCACTGCCAGTCCCTCGATCTTCGCTGTGAGTGCAGTGATGGGATCTAAATTGAGCAGACCAGGTGGATTTTGAGCTCTCTCCTTGCCCGCGTACCAATATTTATCATTTGAAGCCAAATTCTCTATTATCTGCTCTTCTGCCTCTGGGGACAATTTTAGAAACATACCCCCCTGAGATGCTCGGTCTAGTTCTCTCATATACTCCAGCCGAAGACCATTATAAAATCTGCACATAATGGTTGCTGAATTCATGAATGTTTCTCGACACTTCCTTCTCAGCGTCTTAAGCCTATCCCATGCTTCACTGAAAGTCTCGGTCGGAGCTTGAGTGAAGTTGAGAATTTCTGTCTGAACTTTGATAGCGGCAGAGGGAGGAAAATACTCCTGCATAAATGCCTGATGAAGCTTCTCCCATGTATCAAAATGCCCGTTTGGAAAGCTACGGAGCCACCGCGATGCCTTGTCTCTCAACGAGAATGGAAATAAGGTCAACCTCACTGCCTCGCTAGATACCCCATTGTATTTGAATGTGGCACATGTCTGAATAAAGCTCTCAATATGCTCCATTGGATCTTCATGGGTGCATCCGCAGAATGGATTATTAGCAAGCATCTGCATCATGGCCGGCTTGATTTCAAAATTGTTGGCCTCAATGGTGGGTGCACCAATGCTATTTCTCGCCACATAGTTAGGCGTCAACTTCTCCAGAGTTGTCTCATCGGCCATTTTGTTTAAGTCTTCTAGCAATCGCCTTTTAGCTCTTCCTCGGAATAAGCGTTTAGGATCCGAATAACCTGCAATTAAATCTAGTTCCCCCAAGGAGCGAGTGTGCATGCACTGGTTCCTGCAGCTTAGTTCACGTGCAAAGAACACCAAAAACAAAAACAAATAACAGAAAAGAAATAGAAAGTCTCACCGACTTGCTTTTACCTATTCCACAGAAAGTACTTAACAAACAACCGTGCCACTCCCCGGCAACGGCGCCATTTGATCGATGTAATTTTTTGTGAGTAAAACGTAGTTGGTTAATCCGTAGAAAAACCAGACCACGAGTATCGTCTCTCAAGGAGTGGCAAAAAGGAAGTTTTAAATACAGTCCGTGATCACAGGCTAGCACAAGTCATGGTAATCTTTCTGAACAAATTGTTTTCGGGTGATTAAAAAAATAAACTAACAGCGAGTGCAAAAAAAAAATAAGTAGAGAAAAAAGTAAACTGATTCTAGATATTAAAACAGGGTTCAAATTGGATGGTTCGAGTTCTTGGTGTTCTTTCGAAATTAGAATTTAGCAAATTAATTTTCAATTACTCCTGGAAAGAATTCTCATAGACAAGAATTAAATCATATTTCGACAATCCTAACTTATTTCTAAGATCAGATTGCTTGTATAAGACCCAAGCTAATTTAACTCAAATTCTCATAGACAAGAACTGAATTAAATCCAAACATTCATATATGAGGTGATCAATTTCATATAGACAATTATGATCAATCTTATACAATTTTCCAGAAAATTAATTGAATTTCAAAAACTAAATTCACATTCTCAAGAACCCATGAACCCTAGCCCAAATTCAAACCCTATAGGAAATTAGCTACTCATACTAAAAATTGACATCTCAATTTTATTCATAACCACTATAAGGAGCTAGTTAAATAATTAATCAAGGTGAAAAAAAAGGAAAAAAAACAATGACTTAATTAAATGAGAAAATCGGAAGTTAATAAATAAAGACTAAGAAGCTTCAATCCAATCTAAATTGCTGAGTATAGAACTAGTAATCATCACTTGGAATCTAATTGAATTTAAAAGAAATTGGGACAAACATTGAAAGGAACCTTCGATTCTTTCTTGCTGCTACGTTGTTCAAAAGAGAAAAAAAAAAAATCTGCTGCTGTCCTTTTTGTTTCTGCCTGCTGCGACTGCTTGCATAGAAGGAGGAAAACTGCTGGTGCGGCTATCTTCTACCTACGGCTGGACTGTTTTTTCAGGGAAAACCCTTGCTGAAGTTAATTGAAAAAGGAATACAAAGAATTGATGAACGATCTCCGCTGCAGCGGCTGGTTCCTGAGGGAAAAAACCAGCTGGTCTGTTTCTCCTTTTTCTTTTGGGCTCCTGAAGTGGATGAAGAAACTGCTGCGACTTTTTTTCTTTGCTTTTTGGACCTCACTTAATAAAGTAACCCGCAAATGATTTGGCCCAAACAATTTATTATTCACCGCAAATTCGGCCTGTAAAATCACAACTCACCACACCCGCTAATAATATGCAATTTTACTATCAAATTACTCCAAAAATGTCAAATTGTATGGAAAACTACTAAACTAAAAATGAATGCCACCGGGACCGAAAAATAACAAATTTTAATTCAAAACCCCCAATAGTCACCCGATTAATTATAAAAATTAAACAATTAACACCCAAAATATGGGTGAAAGATAGGGACAGAACGAGCCTATCACTTGACGACACCACCGCAAGGTCCATGCATCATAAATCCCTTACTGCTGCATAATACAACGGGTCACGGTTAACATCCGGGATTTCTGCAGATATCACCTTATCAATATCTTCGGGAGCTGGCAACTTATCCTCAACAGACAACCAGAACAAAATATGGGCATGAGGCAATCCGCGTTTCTGGAATTCTATAGTGTACACAACTAAAAAAGGAAAATTAAATGTTAGCAATTTTCACTAAAATGACAAATAATAAAATAAGTTTATTCCCCTTACATGCCCTCACAGTTCCAAATGTCCTTTTTTCCCTCAAATCCTGTATCAGACCGTCAAGCTTAATTTTGAAAAGTTGAGTGACAACATCTGGGTGATCCTCGGGTTCAAGATTCCTCACATTTAGAAATCAATAAATCTCTGGCCATCTTGGGTTACAGGTAAACGTAATGAAAAGATCCGGATAACCCGCCCACTTACATATGGCCATTGCGTCCTGATAATTCTGTATCATATACCGTGCCCCTCCCGTAAAGGTCGGAGGCAAAACAATTCTCTTCCCCTGAGTGCGCGAATCATTCTCACCGCGTAAGAAAGCATCGCTCAAACCCTTGTACATATCACAACGGAGTTGTTTCTCATGAGTTCTAACAAATCTGGGCCTCGTAGACTCAACCAAAGTGTAGCCGTCAACAATGAATTGTTGAAAAAGCCTCTTTGTCTTAAGAAGAGATGAATGATTATCACACCGTTCTTGAACACGAAATGCAATAAACTGCCTAACACTAACCCTTTGTCTCCTAGCAATAGCAGACCCATTGAGCTTAGACAACAAAGTATCCTCACGATAACTGTCCTCTCCATATGGGAACAACAACGGATACTGAAGACCAAAATAGGCAGGATTTAACTCATTAATTCTTTGAAGCGCTCCAGATTGAGTTTGAACCAAGATGTCCCGCTCACCCAAGGATTCATCAAAATCGCCCACAACCAAAGCAGTGACCTCTGACACGGAAGACAAATTATATGTTCGGGCATCCCCACATCGTTTTCCTATAAGATTAAGCATCACATTTGGGACACCGTTTGTGTCAATCTTTTGTTTGGCAAGTCGAAAGGACTTGACCAACACGTTATGTTCATTGAGCATCTTAGTCAAATAATAATTTTGACCATGTAACTTAAAAATGGAAGGAGACTTGGCCCTGTTCACACTTCCTTCCACCTTACCGCCCATCGACGTAAACGAAAACACACTGTTGTATGATCTTATGTTTTCTAAGAAATGTTTACTGCGCTCATCAGTACCCTCAATCAATTGTGATAACAATAGCGGCCGTTGTTTCATAAAAGGCAACACGGCCTTTCCTTGACTACAACACAATGAATATTTATGAGTGTCCTTCGTCGACGTAGAGAGAATACGTTCAGCAAACCAAAACAAAGTAGCACAATACTCACATATACATATTGAATCATCAATGTCCCAATACTCTGCAACACAATAATAATAAATCATCCGGTAAAAATACATAATCTAAAAAAATGAAATTGGAGAACTGTGTTGTCAAATCGCACCAACCGCTCTGCGGCTTGTGTGAGCAGGGAGGGCATCATAGTCAACAAACTCGTCATCCGCGTCACTATCATCAAAATAACTTATATCAACATCCTCAATAGGAGACACAACGGATTGGCCAGACACTGAACCACCAAAAATAGACACGGAAGATCGTGGACCAAAATAACCTACCATGAATTTTTCCACAACATTAATAAGACGATAAGTTGTAAAATTGTAAAACATTAATACATACAAAAATTAAGATGAAACTAAAAACAAATTGCAAATCAACGCAGGCTTAGTTTCATTCTTACCATGATCGATATATCTTGTTGTGGAATTAGAGAGTAGCCTTGATTCCATTGAATCAAGTACGACACTCGACGTTGAGCACAACATATAATCGCGAGGTGGGATTGGAGGGCACACAATCCCTTCGTCATCCGAAAGGCCTTCACAATTGTATGAAAAACCAAAAAAGACATAAATTTAGTGAAACATTCATGGATAACAGTAAAAGAAAATAAAGAAAGAGCAATAGGTATAATTAAATGATAGTTCCAACTTTTTGAGATAAGTTTATCCGTTGTTAATAAGCATTTTAATGGGACGCATGGTGAAACGTATTTTGACAAAAAAATACGTAAATTAATGCACAATAATTACGGCAAAATGCAAACATCAACATCCTTTTTCTTGAATTGTTAACATAACTAGCTAATTTATCAATTCAATTTTTAAAAAAGTATCACCAAATGGACACTTAAAAAGACAAATTTGTAGGCAAAAAAAGTTTCTTAAGTAGTGCAGATACCTGTTTAATCCCACACAAACAAAAACACAAAAAAATAATAATCAACGTTTCTAATCTTGATTTTATGTCTTACAACATACACTAATTAATTGTATTAAAAAAAGAAGACCATAACCCAAACTCTTAAAAAAACTATGATGGGCTGGCCCAAAGGGAAAATCATAAATCATCCCACCCAAGCTTATATCGTAAGCCAAATACCTATTGCACACAAACGCCCTACATTCACGCCGACACCACCAACCTTCCTCTCTCACTCTAACAAACATCCCAGATCGAGAACGGAAGAGCCATTCAAACCTTCTAAAAAATCCACCGCCGAGGACCAACAACACCCACACCCAGACCTCGCCCCTCTCAAACAAAAGCCTCCACCGCCGAACAACACCCACACCCACAAACCTCTTTCACAAAAACAAAGCTCAAGGATCGAGGAAGAAGCAATCGTAGCCACCTTCAGAGCTCCAAAGAGGGTCTCCGGCTACATCTAAAACAACAGCAGTCTCCCTCCGGTTATTGCTCAGAGATAAAGGTAAATTTTCTCTTCTGAAAACACAACAAACCGCCTATTCGGACCATTTTAAACATGCACACACACCGGGTCATACAACATCTCCAACCCACAGTCTACGACACAGAAAAGATGCATAAATTTTAGAGATGAAGCGGAAAAAATACACACATACCTTCATGCCTAAAATCTGCTTAATATTCATGTTTTTTAACAAAAATAATACTCTTTGGTTTAAGATCGACTGATCAAAAGGAAAATACTCCCTCCGTCCCAAATTGTTTAGCAAAGTCAACATTTTTAGGTCAACCTATAATAAAAGTCAATCCTCTCTATCGATAATTAATTCAATTTTTAATAATTAAAATTTGCATATTTAGAAACTACATTAAAATATCTTCAAAGTTGTAAACTCCAAATTAGAATATAATTAAATTTTGACATTCTAATTAAGCGAATAAAATGAAACTGTTTGACAAGGAAAAGTCAAATTTGCAAATCAATTTGGGACGGAGGTAGTATTTTTTTTCCTAAATATTTACTAAACACAACCACTTTAACCAAAGTGAATTAAAACCCTACATATCTGAAACATGAAACCTGCAGTAAATTTTTATCTTCATAATCTATTTTTCAAAGTGAATACAACTGAAAAAATTGAATGGCTCATCATTTTAATCAAAAACCATGAAAAAATCATTTTTTCAAATTCATGGTATGCAAGGTGTTGTTTCATCTTACTGTAAAAGATTTTTTCAGATTATTTTACACAAAGCCTGATTTTTAATATCCAGTATTACATCAGGAAAAATATCCCAAAAACAACCCCGTAACATTTTTTTTTGTATGGAAACATATATTATTTTGATTTATATTCAATTTTATTTTGCTATAATTTTTATAACAAATTTAAAGGAACTTTTAATGTTAAATTTTATTTTAGCAAGAAATCTTCACAACTAAAGTAAATGTCATAAAAAAATGAAAATACAAAAATAACACGTTAAAATATACGTAGTATTTGAAGCATCTCGAGAACCGTCGGATAAGTACAAACAACCCTCTGAAAAAAACAACGCAATTAATGTACTGGTCCCCACGCACGTTAGATTTTTCAAAACTCACGCCGCCACACCAAACACTACCCAGAATTTATTATTCCGTCACATACCACAATTTATTGTTCTGGAAAAACCCAACCGGCACCCACCAAAAATTTATTATTCATAAATCATCCTACACCCAACCACCACAGCTTTATTATTTCCAATTCAAAACACAACCCGCCGGCCTAACCACCACACATTTATTATTCCTAGATGACAAACCCACCCATCGGCCCAACTACCACACATTTATTATTCTGAGACCACAAAACAACCAACCGGCCCAACCACGCACCTTAATTATGTTTTGAGACCGAACTTCAAAATACTGAGAACAGAACACACAACACAGACTCTTCCCTCCATAACATTAATTTTACATCACAGCAAACATATTACAATGATCTCACACCATCGTCGACATCCCCATTACTCCAGTTCAACAAAACAACATTCCCATTGAAGGAGAAAGGCTGCTGCTACCGCAGTGCTCCATGGACGCCAGGTAATACTCAATCTTTCATATTTAACATTAAATCACCTCAATCCACTTTAGTCTCTATTATTTGTTAACACACTAATATTTTTTGAAATGCATGGGAGAAAAACGGGGCAGCTCAGCATGGGTTCGTGTAAGTGTGTTACACATACAAACCGAAGAAAAAAGCAGGCAAGATAATATATCTTAAAATACTTCTTGAGTTTTATTCAAAAAAATGTATTCTATTATCGGCTAACAATTTGTTTTTTTGAAACACATGCAAGGAAAGTCGTGCAGTTGAACAGCAAGCGGATGTTCGCCAAGCATTAAACCCGGTGCCAAAAACGGGCAAGAAATAGTGATGCACAATTACACATTTATTTTTCTTAAATAAAATGCATCCAATAAATTCATACAAATCATATCTCATACACAGCACTTTGAAATTGAAGACCAATGCATTGAAGTAATAGATTAACCAAGTAATATTTTTATGAAGCAGTAGTATTTGCTAGTTCTCACATGTCGAAATAAAAAAATTAACTATTTCCACACACACAATACCACAATTTCCATTGAAAGAAATATTAAATACCCAATACGGGTTCTCTCGGCGGTTTCAGATATATACAAATAAGTCAAACGAATTAAAGATTTACAAATCTTGAAATGTTTATCACACGGTTGAAACTTCAAGCAAACCTTAAATCAATAGACTACACAACGGAAATATTTTTCAAATCACATTCTGGCAAAGAAATATTTATCTTCTGTTTAGACTCAAGTTAATACTGTAATCATTTGGCAATTTTTTCAAAGCTTAAAAGCCATAAATACCTGAACATGGTCTCTTGCTACCAATTATCGATGACTTTGTTAGCTTAGGCATTGATACGATAACTGGTGAAAATCATTCATGTCCCCTTGAACACACGGTCTGCATAACCAAAATCTAGGTATAGAAACACATTTCTATAAAAATCAAACACGGTATAAACAGTTTTTTCTAGATAGATTTCTATTTGCATAATATATCCACCAAAGACGTACAACACAAAGAAATTTAATCGGCAAACATTAATTAACCATAACACATTCGAAGACCCATAATATTACATACGGGTAGCCAGGCCTTTGTCCTTCACAGCATGTAAGCAGCACCACATCTTATAGCAGCAACCGAGAGCGACGGAAGTGCAGCAGCAGCAGCAGTAGCCACCGGAGGGAATCCATTGCTACTTCAATCGGGGAATGCCTTTCTTACGGGAGCTTCACCACGTACGAGAGGATTCCCATCAAGCATCATCATCAACAACATCTTGGAGAAGAAGTGATTACTCCTGTGAGGCGGTCCAGTAGAATCAGAAGTCAAGTTACTTCACCATCCCCGGTGGTGGATGACAAGGAGAGGGGGCAATCTTTCTCTTCCTCAACTCTTTTCTTTTACAGCTGCTGCTTCTTCTTCTTCTTCTATTTCAGTAATCATGTATGTCAAAGATTTGTAGTAGCAATTCTTTCTCACTCAACTGAAATTAATGTATGGGTGTGATTTCTATCTAAATGGGGAATGAATGAATGAATGAATGAATCATCAAAAAAAAACATACGGGTAGCCAATTTACGAAGGGGCAGTAAAATCCTTATATGCACACACTATCAGTGCAAAAATAGGATGGACATAATATCTGAAAATATAGATACTAAAACAGGTAGATGGGCAAAATAGATAAGGACACCAAAGTCATAACAGACCAAAGTCACAAAAGTAATAATGTTCCAGTCACGTAGATCAGGACTGTCTAGTTAGCCAACCAAAGTCAAAGCCAACAACATATTCCCCTCCGAAGTAGCGTTTGTTCAACACTATCACACGTGTGGAACGCCTCAAGATGACCTCGTCCATCACCTGCGCAGTGCTAACCCTGGAATTTTCACCCACATCTCCAACAAACCACTGGAGATCATGAGATCCAAATTAAACAAACGTGATAGAACTGTCGTTGGCAGCAGTTTGAAAGGGTTTCCCTCACGGAGAAAACCGAGGTTATTAAAGTCGCACACACCACACCACCAGATTTGACATGTGCAGCCGAGTGTGTACATGTTATAGCCAACATCCATCATACCACAGATTGCACATTGTTTCTCGATACCACCACACTCAAGGGATCCACCTAAATCACTTTAACATTTTCAGTTCCTATCCCAAGTTTAATGGGAAGCCCCGAACCCAATTTGGCGTTCGATTTTGAAGATGGGACCCAGAACCCGAAACCCTGAACCCGGAACCCCTGGACCCGGAACTGGAACCCGATACCCCGAACCCGGAACCTTGAACCCGAAACCCTGAACCCTGGACCTGGAATCCGGAACACGAACCCGAATCCGAAACCCCGAACTCGAACCCGAAACCCCGAACTCGAAACCCTGAACCCGAACCCGAACTCGAAACCCGAAACCCGAACATGAACTCGAAACCCGAACTCGAAACCCCAGACTCGATACTCCGAACCCGAAACCCCGAACTCGAAACCCTGAAC